CAAGGAATCTTAACGTATACTATGGATACGCAGCTAAGAAAGGACAGAAACCTGAATACGTCCATATGTTGAATGCAACTCTTTGTGCAGTACAAAGGACACTTTGTTGTATTGTTGAGAACTATCAAACTGAGGATGGAAGAATAAGAGTACCAGATGTGCTGAAGCAGTACGTTGATTTTGAATTAATTTGATTCATTCATACACTGTTCTAATGCCTGTTTTATCTCTATGAATTCATCACTTTCCAAATAAATGTATCCATTCATACCTAATGCCAAGCAATATGATTTACATTTTCGACTTACGCTTTTAATTTCCTCCTGTAGATTCATAAAATGAAGCAGTTGCACTTTCCAGACATCCATTTGGAACACGAAATCAATTTGACCCAGGTTCATCTCATTACAAGTTAATTGCAATTCATTTCCAAAGATACCTGATATTTTGGCTAGTACCAAATCACCTGTATTCAATTCAGGTCTATTCTTCTTAGTTGCATTTGTGAATGATAGAAATGGCAGTATTCCAGTGTACATACTGTTGTGTAGATTTCCATGTGCCACATTGACTTTATAATAGTCGTTTTGAATAACAAACACTCTTCCTATCACAATATCATGTACCATTGGTCTGTATTGAATTGTTTTGGAAAAATTGAATAAAATTCTTCCCACTTTATACAGTTTTCCATCAGTTGTTGCCTTGTTATTCAGTATATTCATACACCTACGTCCTTCTTCTATGATTTCATCACCTGCTTTCACATTCCTTATGAATTTGAATTCTTCTATCTTCTTAAACAAATCAATTTCCATTTTTATACATAAAATTTCTTGATTTTTACATATTTACCCTAATAATTTATTCAATAACAGATGTGTGGCATCATTGGATATGCTTTCTCATCCATTTCAACCACTTCAATCCGAATATCTTTCTTAGTCTCCTTCTCAATGAATCCTTTGAATTCATTCAAGTATTCCACTTCATCAAATGTTACCTGATACTTCTTCATATTCATCAAATAATCCATACTGAATCCAATTCTCATTTTGCTGTTACTGTAATTCCTACTCTCTTCCAGAATACTCTTCTTTATCTCATCATTGTTCTTCCCACTCTCCTTCATCTCCTTTATTCTCTTCATACAATCCTCTTTCCAATCACTGTATTTCTTTGCCACCTTAATCACCACCTTATCTTTCTTTGCTACCATATTAATTCGTCTCACCACTTCCTTAACATATTCAATTCCATCAATATTACCTATATCACTTTTCTCACCCATATCAATCTTCTGTCCAATTTCCTCCATCAAGTATCTTGTATAACTTGGTATTATTGGATATAACATCCTCATCATCCTATAATACGCCCATTCTTTCATCTTATAGTTCATTCCACCCATGGTCT